ACTAATCTACAGTTGGACAATAAGAGAAGAAGCATAGCTCAAAAAGTCATTATCAGGAAATAACCAAGGAAACCTAGAGCTAAAGGAAGTCCACTGAAATGGGAAAATATTGAAAAAAGGTTAAGTTGAACTTTGAAGCTGTCATGTAGCACCAGAAGTGAACACTGGATGGAAGATGTAGATGAAGGGAGATTAAAACAACTTGGTGGCACAATGGGAAGAAACCAAAATGGCCTGGGGAAAGGAGGGAAGTGAGAATAGGACTCGAGCACTGAAGTCATAGTGACTGGGAAAGCTGCAGGCATCCATCTTTTTGATTGCTGCCTCTGCTGGGGGACAGTTCATCGCTGAAGAAAAGTCAGGTTTAAGTGAAACTGACAGGAACAGGAAATAAATAGATGGTCAGTAGTGTACAGGCTATGAAAGAAGAGACTTTAAAAAATGAGTAGGGCTAATTGAAAGCTGGGGGAAAAGAGTAAAGAAACAAGACAAAAGAAAAATTATAAGCAGCAAGAATGAAAGGAGAATGTAACATGAGAGAATGTGAAGTGTCACTCTCATTTAGAAAGACTTCAGAATTACATAAGAAGGCAGAACCCTTTGCAAAATGCAAACCCAAATGCAAAATACATTTGCCTTTATGCATTCAGCCTTTTTTTTTTTTTGTCATGTAAATCAACAGTGCTGCTGCTAGCAGTCATGCTTTTATAGCATGTAATGTTTTTTTTTCAGTTCAAGTTGCTGGGATAATGCCAATTTGACAAATTTGGCTTCCTTTTTTTTTTTTTTTTAACTGTGAAATTTGGGATCTGCTTTTTTTTGTAAGAAAAGGTCTCAAAATTGAACTCTAAGATGCAAAAATGGAATAGCAGCAAATCAACATATAATACAAAGGAAATTGTTACTAAAAAAAATGTTTTTCAAGAGTAAGCCTTGGTGATGGAACTGAAGCAGTTTTTTAACCACTTGAAGTTGTCAGCATTAAGTGCATCCGAAGGCACAGCATGACCTAAGAGTGCTATAGGGCACCCTTCTCTTGCTGTGAAGAAGCAGCAAGCATTAGCAAGTGCTCCATGCACAAGAGCAATGAGTACATTTAGGAACAGTTATTGGCATTACATATTAACTTCTATTTGTCTTAAGTTATGATAATAAGGCACGATGAGTGTCCCCTTGGATATGATTTTTCTTTTCAATGACTATAAAGACAATTTAAATTGGCTCAGGACATATACTTAAATTTTCTCAAACCCTGATAAATTTTGGTATTCCTTCAAAATATCCTAAGTTTTATCAAGGCCAGCATAGGTTGGGTGTATATAACACTTTACCAGAGATGAGTCCATTGTTCATTCAGAAAAATTCTAGAGGAAAGGATGCAGAAAGATAGTTTTAAAAACACACTATCTTTGCAAAAATGTCAACAGAAAAATTATAAAATTGTTATTGAAGCAAATTTTGTAAAATGAAAATGCATGAAATCCAAAATACAGCAAATATTCATCTGCAGTGAAACCTACCCAATTTCCATTCACCTTCTGGGTCTTGTATGGAAAAAATGTAAAATTTGGGAAGGAATTTGATGGATCCAAAAGAACTACAAGTACAACTGTAAAGGGAAATATCTTCTCAGGGAAGTAACCAATTTTATTTTTGCTAAAAACTCATCCTTGCAAAGATAGTGCTTGTCAGCTGTTCACCAGGTGCAGCTCTTTATAATTAGAGCTTAGTTACATGCAAATCTGAATTCTACAAGGATGCAGGGGTTCTCCTAGATCAGCTTGCAGTACTGGGATGACACCCTGTATTCTTTATATGACGCTGGATAGGCAAGATATGAAACAAGATGGTTTACTCCTGGGGGACTTTGTGTACTTAATCTTGTCAAAAAGAAGAAAACAAAGCAAAACCAAAGGCCTCGTGGTTCTTGGCTGAGGCACAAAAACATACCATATGACAACTGATAGCCTAGTCACAAAGTCTTTTTTAAACAAGGAATGAACAGCAATGTGTCATACGTGTATATATATAAGAGATGTGAAATGATACCTACCCACTTGCAGTCATTTTATTGTGTTATTTCCACAAATATAAATAGGTTTTTATCCACCACCTGGTTCTTTTATGTGGCATGCTCTCTTTGTCTCATCAGAAGCTTGTTCCATGTGGGCGAAGAAACACTGAATATATTCTATAACCCCATTCTTTTATCAATAATTTCCTGTTATCATTACACAATTATTTGAATTTTGTGACTATGGCCACAAAGGAGCAATTCAATTAAACCAAAACTACAAAGGGAAAATCTCATTGCAATCCTCTGTGCAACTGGTGAACCCAGTAATTATATATAGCCACCTATTGTGTTAGCATAATAACTTGTGAAGAAGGTTTAGTTAGACACATTTACACACATAAAAAGCAATATGGGCATAGAAAAAGTCAGTTTTTCCAGAAGCATAGAACAGTCACACAGGAACAAATGAGAGCTGCATGAATCCTAGTTTACTTGGCTATAAATAAATCCAACATTTTCTTTCTCTCTATAGTAAAATAAAAGAGAAACACAGAAGCATAACAGTTTGCTTTGAGCAACCAGTCTCTTTCTGTTCAATTATAGTCATCAATCTGTTCCACCTAAAATATTTTCCTCCTTGAGAAACCAAAGAAACCAGTATTAGGATCCAAAACATGCTGTTGCAAAAATAACTAGAAGAGGTCTTTCCTTTTGCTAAATGCATTTGTTCTGAATGTCTATCTCTTCTTTAACACAAATTTTGTAATTTTGTGGGAAAAAAAAAGCTGCATTTATGTGGCACTTCTAATCAGAAAATCTTGAAAAGCTTGGTAAGGAAAAGTGAAGGTTACCTTCATTTTACAGAGAAAACTGCAACAAAAAGAGTTTAAAGCCATTTTTTTCTTCCAAAATCTGTCCCCCACATACATTCCTTTTAGATGCCAAATTGGAAGCTTTTAAATCTTTATATTCAGAAGTGCTAAACAGGCAAAGCTTCAGTCATACCCTTTCTCTACACAGTGTCAAATCCTGTGAAATGCTGGTCTGTACATAATCCCACAGGAAACTAGAACGTAGGGAAGGAACAGAGTCAGATCTCCTTCTTCATGGTCTTACAAAGCTTGTCTAGGAGGTTGAAGATTTTTGATTACTTTAAATAATTAGTAAAGTCTAGATGCTGCCTCTAATATATATGCAAGATACAGTTTCACTAACATCTCTGGCCTTGATGTGAGAATCATTTCATAAAATCACATAACTTGTGTTATGTAGAAGATAGCACAGGATAACCACATTATATATTCTGGCCTAATAAAAACCCTAACAATCCATGACTACAACAACACAAAATAATGAACTATAATGAGCTATCTTGGAGATAACACAACAAACTTCTGATTAAGGCTCTTTCATCCTCTTGAGATGTGATACTAGTCACTAAATTGCATTGTTTCTTCCTTTACCTTGTGTGCCACTGAACCATCAAAGCACATAAAGTAAAGCCAATTTGATTCAGCTAAATAGGAAAAACTCCAAATCCTCTTCTTTATGTGATAGTTCTGTACAGTCATCTACAGAGAGCAGAACACTGTCCACCTGTGCATGTTTGGAGAATTATTTTGAAGATGAAAAATCAAGGTGCCAAAATAATATCATCTGTGGTAAAAAAATAGTCTCAGGGTAAGTTTTCTGTGCTGAAAATCTCATCAGAAACTTCAAGAACTGAATGGACACAGAGACCAATCCTTTCAGCCACAGAGATGGCTCCAAAATAATATAAAATGTGCACTTGGAATCCATAAAAGCACTATAGAGAGATTAAATACTCCAGCCTAACTTGAACAACCATATCAACTGTCCTAAATTTGGGGGGAAGGAAGGAAGGTTTTGAACTAAATTTCTTGTCCCTTATTTTATTTTTTGAGATTACTATCATTAAAGTACAAAATAACTACAGTTTTTACTGTTTGTGTACCCTGTTTGGTGAGTTTGCTCTTAGCTCAAAACATTATTTTAGGGGATCATTTTTACTTCACTAAAAAAAAAAAAAACACCAGGATTCAGTCATTGAAATTTCCTCCACAATATAAGTATTATCCTTTAAAATATTAGTCTTACAGGAAGCATCACATTAGATATTCACTTTATATTTTCTTTTACGATATTTCTTCAAAAGCAAGATCTTGCAAATAATATTTGGTTTAAGATTGTTCAAATTACAAAAGGTTAGCTTTACTATCCTCTCTTTAAGACCACGGCACACTTATTGTCTGTAATTTTATCAACAAGCAACTGGCCAGTTTGGAAACCTAAATTTGAGAAGTCTTTTTTTTTTTTTTTTTTTTTTCATTCAGCCGCAGAAAACGAAAGCCTTTTTTTTCCCTGGGGTGATATGCTGGTTTGATTTTATTTCCCCTGACATTTCACCTGTCAGATTATGATAAATAGAAGAAACAAAGAATAATCATCACATTCTCATTGCATCTCATAATCAAATATCTGGAAATATAAGATAAATCAGAAATATTGCCCTGAGGGAAAACATTAACACTGAAAACACTATCAGAAATCCAAATAATCTTTCAGTGAACTAGAACTCCCATACATGTTTAAAAAATTCAAAAAGGAAGTCTGTATAAAACTGTCACATCTATTTTTTATCTTCAGATACTAGGGAATTAACTACAATTAAATAAGAACAAAACCAAAAAAATGTTCCTAAGTTAAGAAATTCTATTTAATAACAAAGCTGTGAATCTTCTTTAAGTCTTTTGTGAATGCTTTCTGAAAGCAATCCTGAGGCCAAGAAACAGGACAGGTTATCCTGAAATACTATAAGCCCAAATTAAATAGCTGGCAAGATAAAAAGATTAATGAGCCAAAACACACTAAACATGCTCCTGATTTACTGCATCTCTAGCTTGCATGTTCCAAATTTCTCTCAGTCTCACAGTGCTGAGATTCATAAGTGATGAAAACTTACCTGCTTGGCCAGTAGTAATACTGACAGCTGCAAAAAGCCTCTGGGAACGACTCAAGTCAGAAACCCCATTCACAGCTTCAACTTCAAACGTGTAGTTAGCATGAGCTAGCAGGTCCATGACAGTGACATAGTTATCTACTAATCCAGTTTGCTGGGGCATATATCCAATGTTACTCCCACAGGGAACACACTCGCCCTGCTCCCAGCTGCACCTCTTGCACAAAATGCGGTAGGTCACATCACTTCTTCCCCCATTGTCAGCAGGAGGACTCCACTCCAAACTCACGGTAGTCTGGTTGATATTGAAAATTAGGTTCTGTGGTGCAGATGGAGGTCCTACATAATACACAAAGAAGTCCAGGGTAATTACACAAAACCACAGCGGGACACACAGGTAGCATTTTAATTACTGTGATAGAAAACACTTGAAGCATTTTTCTTCACATAAACATTTCATTATTTTTAGTACAGGCTGCATAAAAGCTTTCTTGAACTCATTTGGTAAGAGCTTTATTTATTTTTCATAAAGACATTAGAATAACAATTGTCTGTATATTTACTGCAACTGATTTTAGCTGTTTCTGTTCTGTGTAATTAAAAGGAATGGTTAATATACCTCAAAAGTTCTTCTTTACAGGTTTTCCACATATGGGATTTGTTCATGTCTTTTAAACATGCTGCACAAGCTGCATGTAGTCTTTTTTTATCAGCTCTGATATGATTTACAGAGATATTTAGTGATGTTTTGGATTTAGGAGACTTCCACTATTTGAACCACCAATCTGTGTAGGCCAATCTATTTGCAGTTAGAAGGTTAAGTCAGACCCAATTACAGTTCAATCAAAGTGTAGTTCCACAGAGGCTACTTTTCATTTTTCACATTACTAATTTTGGTATTATATGACATAACGTACATTGTCTGCGACAATTTAGGGAGAACTGGGCCTGTATGATATCTATGATAGTGAGTTATGCACTTATGCAACATGCAATGTTTTCCAAAGCTGTACTAAGCAAACTTGAAAATTATATTTATCCTGATTCTGTATTCACTGACAACCCTTTTTCTGCCTTTCATTTTCTTTTACCATTGCAAATGTACTTTTCAAACACAGGAAAAGCCAGACAAAACTACTCACTGCAAGTGGCTGCACCTGGTTGGTTAAGCAATGTCCTTTACTATTAAATTCATGACTCACTCACTTGTGCATGCGACATATGGTGGATCAGAAGGTGCTCTATAATAGCTATCTTCACAGTCGCATCTGGAAGATCCTTCCTTGTCAGAGAAGCTGTGAGTAGGGCAGCGGGAACACTGCAGATCTTGAGAGGAGGATTTGTAGAACCCACGGCCACAAGCTAAAGCACAACAAAACAAATTAAGATTTAGATTTGCAGGGACTTCTGCCTTTTTCTGTTTCTGTCACATGAAGTACACATTTCTGTAGACATTTAAACTGCCCATTCTGTTAGGTTGGCTCAAGCAAGATATGTACACAATTTCTTTTTCTTCAGATGATGCTGTTAATGATTTTGTGGCATTTTCATGAGTTCAAGTATGTATTATATATATATTTCAACAGCTGGCAGTACAATATTTTAAAATAGAGGGCCACATAAATACAAAAAACATCTGTTTTTCACCAAAGAAGGGTACAATAATGGTGTGAAATATCTGGATGCCTCCAATAGGCCTAAACAAAGGAAAACACTCTAGAGATCTCCTGTAAGGCCACTGAAGTGTTCATGGTATCTGGAATAGTTGTTTTGCAGCAAAATTTTTTCTTCTCTGATCTCAGAAACCCTAAGAATCTGTAACCCAGCAGCAAACCCTGATCCTGAGGAAAGAATGAGGCACAAACATTTGTTTAAAAGATGACTTTAAAAGATGAAATTAACTTACTAAAACTTTCAAGGAAAAGACAAAAGATAGACAGTAGGAAACATGCATACAAGAGAACTTCTTACTTTGGTTTGCTCACTGTGAACCCATGAAATTAAAAAATATGTTGTGTTACAGCTCTGAAGTTTAGAAATACTTCTTGTAGCTACTGCCACAGTTGCCGAGGCAAAAACACACATGAAACAGGTTGGCCATTAGACTTGCAAGCGGAGTACTGCAACCTAGACAGACAGCTTAAGAATGTATAAACTATGAAAACTGTAGGGAATAAGGAAGAGGATCAAACAACACTAAAACTGAAAACAGATTAAGACTCAATTTCAGCATTGAGGTTACAGGCAAACCTACAAACACCGTCAACATGCAAAACAAAACACAAAAGTACTCCAGAACCTTCTACTAAAGCAGAAGTATTTTCAACTAGACTATTTGACCCTTTTTTTTTTTTTCTTCCAACCCTAATAGACAGTATAACCCTCTTAAGCCATCCCCTGTATGCAAAGGAAAGGGACAGCACATGAAACTTTGTACTGGGTATCAAAATATTAAAGCTAGTTAAATAGTCATTCTGTATTCAGAGGGAGAGAATTTACTTTGGTTACATTCATATTTGCTTGGATATTTTCTCAGAACAGAAATGCAAAGTATCAAAAGACACTGATATTTGGAACAGTTATTTCAGTTGTCTGGTACTGCAGTGACGGAAAGAGCATGAAAACAATGAACTTTATCCAAAGCTCACTAAGTCAATGAGGAGTACCTTTGACTTTAATAGCCTTTGGACTGGACCCATAGTTTTGCTAAAGCAACATCAGTTATATTAGTCTGATTAATTTTATGCAACAGAGAAAAAAAAAAAAATGCAGCAATACTTAAGACAACAATAGATAAAAGCTGATTAATTATGTAAATCAACAGTGGATCACACCAGCTGGAAATTCCCGCTGTCTATTACTCTATCAATATACTAAGTTTTTAAAGAAAAGTATGCTTAAAATAGCCATACCATTTAAAGTTGGTTGTGCTAAAAAAAAACCCCAGTGGATGGAAACTAAATTATTTGGCAGAGCCAATTAGCATGCAAAGCTTGTAGCTTTTGATTTTGACAAAGGGGCACAAGTTTGCATTAGAAGAAAATCTAATCCTGGATGTAAAATCTGCTATAGCTTGATTGTGCCACAGAAGCTGTTATATATGCTATTTAGAAAGACTACAAAAAGAATTTTGGAGAAGCACTTTAGATAAACATGACCTGTGAATTCATAGTTGCGGCAAATTCGACTTTTATAAATTCATCCAAGGTTTTTTCAGAACTTTCTGACTGAAGTGCACAAAAGCTGAACGGATTTGTATACATGTACATTACGATATGCATTTAAACTTCTGTCTGCTTTTTTAGTACTTGCAATAGAAATGTACCTAAAATTACTAAAGAATAGTTTCCTGCCTTTATTAAATTGTCATGTTCCTCTTATGCCAAACAAAACACTGGACAAATACACCGGAACTTCCAACATGTAGTCCTGTGCAAAGCAAAGAGTAACTTAAAAGGCAAAGATCCCCACTGAGTTTCCAGTCTGTCCTTCTCAGCAGGGCACATTACACGGCAAAGATGCAGAGAGTAAAATAAAGATTTCAGACAGAAATAACAAAATGTAAACAGAAAACTCCTTTTCAGTTTTTTGGGTTTTTTTTTGCTGATGACTTGATCAAGACATTTATATGCTTAGTCACTCACTATTTAATGTAAGTGTGCATTTCTTATTAGAGTTCAAAGGATCTGAGTGTCTGTGACTACTTTACATGACTGAAAGCCAATTATTCTCCTGCACAGCATAACACAGGCAGAAGGTTCAGGCATTCATATCATGCTACCATTCCATTAGCTTTTTGTCCACTAAGAGGCTTGTGATCACATTTAATAACCACCTCCTTAACTTATAAATCCTAGAAATGCAATTCTTGAACTGAATTTTTTAACAGTATGAAAACATTACTTTTAAATAAGACTTTTAAAAAATTTGTAGTTCTTCAGAAAGGAGGGTATGCAAGGCTGTGCACTATAATTAAAGGTACTCATTGGAAGAATGCAAATAAATTATTCTCCCATCTCTCTTCATAAAATTAAATTTCACACAAAAATTGTTTTTTTCAGACTAGCAGTAGAATATTTCTGTTGCTTCAAAACTGAGGACCTTTGGGTCCTTATCTGTTCTTAACACATACCATTGTCTTTGAAAAGAAAACTACAACTGAAAACTCGACCAACATGATGTTGCACAGACCACTTACGAAGGTGTGAGAACTTGCCAGTCAGCTACACAGATAACAGATGGGAAAGAATCATTCAAAAACACTGGTTTGATTCTTTTTTCCATTCCCTTTTGTCCTCCCTTGCCAAATTGCCATGGTGGATTTTTTTTTATTTAGATGGATTGTTTTGTTCTACACTATTTTAATTGTACATATTTTGATTCAATTTAGTGCTTCATGTAATATTTTTAAGATTACAGGGACAGGTGGCATAAAATCCCCACTGCTGCTACCTCCATAAGGAACATTAAAAAATGTTAATTGCAAAAAAACCAAAAACAAACACAGTAGCCAAACAATACTCAGAGCTCCGTACACACAAATCTAAAGGTGATAAATTACAGCTACTCTCTCACAAAAGTATCTCATGGCAAAGCTTCAGGCAACTCAAATGACATTTGATCACATCCATTTTAATATTTCATTTCTTTAGTACAGAAAAGCACTCATTAGCTGCACTTCTTCACTATAAAGGGAGCCTCAAACATAAGTCAAGGCACAGAACTCAAGCAATGACAAAAGATATGCAGGGGGATTTAACTGGTGAGATGGCACTCTGATGTTGTAGTTCTCATCCTCATCACTGCTGATTTGATTAAAATGTGAACTCATTTGATGTTCCTCAAGCAAGTTAAGATCCAGCATAGTTTTACAACTGAAGGGCTTCTGGGGTATGACAAAAGGCAGCACAGAGGTGGGGAGAAAGGCAGCACAAAATACAAATCTCTTCCATTCACTCTGTTGTGTCATTTACGGCTGCTAATTTAACAGAACAGCTCTTCCCAGATGAAGCTCCCAATTTGTTCTAACAGCTGCTCCAAAGCCTTACATGTTACTGACAGCACAAAGAAACAGAATAGCACCTACCTGACTGACCTCAATCAGCTTAAAACAACACAATTAGGTTTCAATTCTTTCCCCATATACTACAAAATCAACAATAAATACAGAAGAAAGTCTTGCTTCAGCCAAGGCATAATTCTTTGCTTAATATCTCAGCCTCAGAACTTTTAGAGACTGTCCATCACTGACCCTCTCAGAGCTGACCAGCTCCATGCACTTGTTTACTTATCTGCAATAGCCATGGCTGCTCCTCAGAGCAAATCTTCTCAACTCTTCCATGAAACTGAGATTTTTCATGTTGGGAAGCTGGCAGAGTTTCAGTGTGAACTACAAAGACAATGTGAAGAAAATCTCTTGGTCAAGAGAGCTTTCCTGGAGTTGGGGTTTGAGACTGAGGAAACCCTAGATAAAGCAGTACACTATTCTGGCTGTATACAATGAAATACCCTCCAGAAAATCATGCCACCAGTTTTTCTGGGCTTGGACTATGTTGCTTTCTTCTGGTACATCCAGTAGCACTCAACCATAACAAGGATGTGTGGTGACAGTAGGGGCTGACATGGCTGGGCATGGTTGTGGCATCAGGGCACAGCTTGGAAATGTGTTTAGCAAATGCTGAAGTCAGGGCATTCACAAACATTTTTAGCCAGTATTTTTGGTATCCCTTAAGAGGCTACACAAATACTGTAAAGTATGGAATTTTGCAAAACCAAAAGTATATACTGAGGAATTAACACACACTAACAAGAACTATGATGCCGCATCTGTGGCATAAGCTGCTGACTGCACCTAAAGGAGAAAAATAGCAGCTTCTCTGCTGCGAGCTCATCACATGCTTTAGCAGCCTGCTGGAGATCAAATATGTATATATTTATTTTCATATCTATTAAAAAAAAAAGTCCAAGGACTTCTGGAGAAGGGAATGAAAGCAGATGTAGAAGGCAACAAACAGCAGTCTGGAGTTCCACTTGTGGGACAGGAGAAAGGAAAACAAGGATGTGTTAAGTACTATTCATTTTTATGTAGCTTTTTCACTATAAAACACCATAAGATTCATTTTGTGTCTAGGATAGCTAGGGAACTTAAATTGGGAGCAATGATGAAATACGGTGAGGGCTATGAGTGACATATGTAACAATTTTTATATAAACAAAGGATAAAGAATAAACAGTTATAGGGCACTGACACATTAATCAAGAAAATGATTTGCTACTACAATAAACAGTTTTAAAAAATCTCCATTTTTTCAAAGTGCAAGGCTTCCAGGTGGCATTTCAGCTTAAGACTTAAAGGCCCCACA